ATCCATCCATCCATCCATCCATCCATCCATCCATCCATCCATCCATCAACCATTATCTATGCTGCTTATTAGACTGTTTGTGTTGTCAGGAATGATGAATTTAGACTTTGGTGGTATTTCTTTTTAATTTATATTATGTGCAATATACAGAATACAGTGGGGGAAATAAGTATTTGACCCCTTGCTGATTTTGCAGGTATGCCCACTTACAAAAAATGCTTGTTTTTCATCATCAGATGGTTATCAATTTTTATAAATTTATATGATGTGATTTTCTGGAATTTTCTTTGGGATTCTGTCTTTCACTGTTAGAATGTACATATGATTAAAGTTATAGATTGTTGCATTCTTTGTAAGTGGGCAAACCTGCAAAATCAGCAAGGGGTCAAATACTTATTTCCCCCACTGTACATAAAGTTTTAAAACTTTAATCTTTGAAAAAAGTGTCCCAAATGAAAGCAATCAAAGTCCTGATGCACATCTGTGTGTGTGTGTGATCGTGCTGTTACTTTTCAGACTTTTTGCCTGGTAACATTACCACTCACTTTTATTTGATTTCTTCAGAATCAGCTAATTTAGAATACAGCTTGCCCTGAGCTATAGCATCCCACTGTCCAGGAATGTGTCTCAACATAAGATTCCACATTTATTCTGATTCTAAATCTCATACTCCTCCACATAATCAACAATAACAACACATTTGCTTTCAAGGTTGTTTTTCCATATTTATGTGCTTAAATTGGACAAGGGAGTGGTCAAATCAGAATATTTAGTTGCAAATGATGAGCTGTTCCTCTCTTGCCTGTCTTTGTTGCTTGAACAGGGGGTTAGAAAAAAGCTGCACAAACAATAGTATAACCTGCGTACGACTATATTTTCTTTGAAAAGGAAACCATAGGTCTTGTCGTCCACTGTTTCCCAAACCATCTTGTGTGCCGACATTTCTTAATGTATTCTGTGCATCTTCCACCTGCTGAGCTGAAGTGTGTGAAGCAGTCATTGTTATGCCAGAAATTTAGAATGGTGTGACTATTATTAATTATTCAAAGTTAATTAAAGAAAGAGTCTTTTGATTTGGCTTCGACAGATGTATCCATGGTGTCGTGAACTTAAGGGTGGGCATGAATCATTAAATAAAACGTTGACAGGAATACCCACAAGTATTAACTGAACATAAACACAGAATATATAGTGGTCAGCTATTTAAAAGCCATTGTCTTGACACTGAAATGGAAACTGGTGCAGTATGCAATAAAAACTTGAAAATGTCCACACTAATATACTGTTAAAGAGTAGTTGAGATAGACTAAAATTGCTTAGTCTATATCTATCTATATGTTTTTATGTTTTAAACAAATTATTAACTATAGTGTTTGATTGTGACTGAATTGAGGTAGTTGCTCTGTGTTTTTCAACTCAATTTTTATGAGGTACACACAAAAATATAGTCATATCCACATTTTGAAGACGTTGTACTTGTATTGAAACATTCATTTTCAGGCAGTTGTGTCAGACTGTGTGTGTGCATAATTCTGCACGGAAGTATAAAGCGGCTGCTATCTGCAGACGTTGGCTGATGCTGCAATAAAAAGGTTTAACTCGACTGTAGGCACAAAGTAATGAAAGAATTTTACCTCAGCACTTACCTGGCCACCTGAAAAAATGACCGGGGTGGAGGCAGGCTTTGGGCGATAAGGAATGGTGGCACCTTTTGGTGGGGACTAGAAAAAAAAAGAGAGGTAAAACCCTTTAATAATACATGATTAAAACTCTTGATTCTGAAAATGTATCAATTTTGCAGGACATAAAAACTGGAAACGTGGGAAAAACATAAATTATCTCTCCGGTAGCATAAGTTAGCAAACGATCAGCCAGTACCAATTTAGATAAACTAACACCAAACTTAAATAGTTGCATGAAATATGTATATTATATATTTGACAGTTATCCTGGCTGTTGTAAAATTAAACTTAATTAACTTGGCAAAACCTTTATTACGTAAGAAACTCAGTAGCTATCACTCATTTGTGTGCATGGCATTTAGAAATACATCCACTTAGATTTTTTTAAAGATGAATATTATAAATCTCCAACCCCTTTGTATTCTGATTTAAAAGACTCCTTTCATCTACATGGTGGGTTTCCCTTGTTTGACATATTTTCTTGCTAACAACAAGCTGGTTAAATCTATATTACATTTTGCACAAACGCAATTAAAGATTTGAATGAGGACTATTTCCCACAAACATAATTATTTCTTTATATATCTTATCAATAAAACATACATATTGTTTATTCAGGAGTTATTGAAGTAAAAAATAAACATATTTCATTCACCTGATATGCTATTAATACTTGATCGTTATAGTCTATCAAACTATATGAAGGGAGAAAAATCAAAATGAAGCAAATGGGTTGTATGGTGAAATATATAATGTTTTCTTTCACACAAAGAGCCACGGAGCGTAAAGGTAATGACAGACTCTTCATTTAAATAAGAAAAACACAAAGCCTGGCTAGAGTGGTTTGAATATATGCATCATCGTGTTTCTGTTTTTCATGCAAATGATGCCGTTTTTCTTTTGCCCACAGCGAGATGGTTTCTATGGGAAGTCCACTTGGCAAAATTACAATAATGAGACTGAATTATTGATTCATACTGTGCTGCGACAACAAGACTATTCAAGACTGTGGAAAGGGCTTCATCAACATCACTCTATATTTTCTGTGAAGAATTTAAGAATCCAGATACAGAGGGGCTTACCTACGACATCCAAAAATACATTGTAATTCCCGAATATAAATACTAGGATTCACATTAACATTCCCTTTCTAAATATTAGCAGTGTCTTGGAAAGGTACTCTACCCTCCCCAGAGTATACCTGTTGTTTATTTGCCTTACAACTCATCGATCTATCCAACATTTGTTTCTATATTCTATAACACAAAAGAAAATCAGAATTACTGAAGAGAACTTAAACAATATTTCTAAAATATAAGAGCCATTTTCTTGTGCATATTATGGGTTTTTATGTTTTTAATGTGCATATACCACTGAAATGGACACTTGTGCAGCATGCAATAAAAATCTAAAAACATCCACAGTAATATACAGTGAAAAAGGAGCTGAGTTAGATTTAAATTAATCAAGGCTTGAATGAGTGGTTGTGAAAAAAAGGGATGAGAGTAGGATGAGAGTTGCATTCAAAGTTCTATGTTCTTGCATTCTGTTGAGAAATCTCAAAATATGTTTAAAGTGTAACATACAGTATTTCATAAGTAAATGTATGCTGTTAATTTGAGTGGACTTCTGGAAAAATCCTTGAACAGACAGATTGAAATGATCACGATTTGTACATGAAAGGGTTAAGATCTGATCTGCTAACCAGGTTCAGAACTATTATATTTAATTTCATGAAATTGGTTTGTTTGCAGTCTAAGGATTGTGTTTTCTCAGAATATGCACCTGTTATATTAAGCCTAGCAGTCAATTAAGCATCACAATTAATACAAAAGAGATATTCAAACAGTTACCTAATACGAGACTACCGTCTGAATCAAAAACTCAGAATGACACACAGAGTACCATCGAGTCCATTATGTGAAAAGGGAGACAATATGGTGCCAAAAAAAACCTACTGAGTCTGCCCAGACCTACAAAACTCCAGGTAATGACCAAACCAATCAAATAACTGACAAAGTGACCACTGGAAGAGCTCAGAGCTCTGCAAAATAAATTTTACTAAAAGGTCTTGAATACTCCCCAGTTTAATGAAAGGAGGCACTTTTATCATTTGACACGATAAAAAGTGCCATGACCACCAAAACAAGAAAAGCCTAGTAGTGTCAGCATGACGTTTGGTGATAAGGTCTAGGAAGTAAACGATTAATGGCTGTAAATTTAGGAACATTATCGAGGAAGACCTTTAGCAGTCTTCCACAATAGTGAGACAAGTATGAAAAATTAGCTTTTAGCATCATCATACACGGCTTTTAAAACATTGTATGCAGTGTACTGTACAAGGGAAAACATTTAATTTCTTGTTGTGGCTGAGCACAGACCTGAGTTTGACCGAGCACGTTGGACTTCGAGATTGTTGAATTACCAACACAGAACGGGGAATTTGAATTTTTGCGAAGATTGGGCCGGCAATCAAAGGAATTTGCAGCTGTCTGGAGATCTAAAAACTGCATCCAGCTCCTTTTTTAATGCAATTATGTATGGAAGAATGGTCCTTCAGGTCCGAAAAATAAATGTATTCCTGCTGTTCACACAGACCATGAAATTACTCACAATGACATTTAGAAAAGGTAGGATACCAATTTAAAAAACAATATACGTCATTATAAGTAATCATGGCTGAGAAAAAGAAAAGCTTATACACAAAAGTGAAACTCTGTTAACTACATTTTAGATTCAACAGTCTGTCAGAACGATTATTTTTTTAAATTTGTATTTCAAGAACAGAATTGTATTGTGTGCCACAGCAACTTTAGTATTTTATTTCTCAGTAAATTCCCACCATATATAAATAAAATAGGCAGGCTGGTCTTGAATATTAAACTAACATGCTTGAAATTGATCCTATTCCAGGCCTGTTTATGCCACTACAACCCATTCAGCTTAATGGAGCAGTGTTGCCTTAAGAAATAGGAAAAAAGTCTATGTCAGATGTGCCACACTTATAGATTCCTACAGGCATTCAGCTGTAAATAGATATGAATATTAAGAATATTTTGTGCGCTCAAAGTGGTAAATATGTGTTGCCCGAATGGAAGAAAAATTATATTCTAATTACACGTTATTAATGAATGTAATGAGTAAACTGTCTCAGGGGTTGAAAACGTATTAAAGGCAAGAGAACTACTCAAGGTTTATATCCAATCCACCTCAGATTGTGTTTATTCACTCTTTCATAGAGCCTGAGAGAATAGCAGCAAAATTAGCATGTGCAAAAAAAAAAAAAAAACATTTTCTTAAATCTCCTCATACATTACCTCCAGCATGACCACACAAATTTGTTTGACACACTGGATGATGGCTTCTGGGGTTCCAGAGATTGTCACTGCGCGCTCCGTGGAATTGGGAAGCATGTCCCCCGCCACCTGAACCTGGGCTCCTGTCGACTGGAGAGAAAAAAAACAAACAAAAAAAAAACAACAAGTGCCTGTGAGAGACAGGATTGACGGCTTTTATATGTAACACGTACTGTACAGGCTGTGCTGTGCAGAATTCTCGGGAGTGCAGACACCCACTTCTGCCGGTGGGTTCAAATCGAAAAGTACTTATCAGCTTTGTCAACCAACTCCTCAAGGTGCTGAGAGTAAAGAAAAGATCCTAGGTCCGTAAAAAAAAAAAGCCTGGATAATTAGGACGCTTAGATTGGCCTCAGCTGCGATATTAGCCTCAGTCATGACATGAAGTAACAACATAATGCCTTTAGGAGTACAGTTTTTTTGTTTTTTTTTTCATGGTCCCATCTGGTGACATTAACCTGAAGGTACCAGCCGAGCACTCTTCCTCTCCACTCTTACTACAGTGTTGCTCGTCCGCACAATCTAGTGCTTATTAGTTGACAGCAAATACTCCCTAGGCTGTCGCACAGCCTCTTTAAAGGCAAGTTGGTTCATTTCAGTCCGTCAAACGTGCACTGTGCATGAAAAAAAACAGCAGCGTCAATTGGAGAGTCAACTGAACATAGCTCAGAAACCTTTTGCAACTAATTGTGATACAACATGAAGGACTCAGAAAGAAGAATCAAACAACAAATCATACTGATATGCCCTCTTTTTTTAACTTTTTCATTAGCATCCAAATGAACATGGCATTTTGCAGTTCCTGACAGATGTATTCCCAGTACAACAGAAGGTCAACAACCACAAATTCAACAATGCAACTCAAGGACCACCTGCAGGACACATATTGCATATGCCATCTTTGACTTTTGAGTCCAGTTTAGGCAGAGTTCATTAAAAAGGAGATTATCCATTAAAGAAAAAAAGAAAAAAAATCTGAATTTGTTAGAGAAGTTTGGGAGTAACATTACCTACTTTTTTAATACATAGCCTATGTCAAGCTTGCTCTCTCTTTCCTCTCCCTTCATACAGTGATTACCCAGCTCAGGGAAGAGAGCTCAGCTTGACCCCTTCAGGCTTCAGAACATTGTTTTCAAAGCATCTTTTGCAATTCTAATAATTCAGAGGCGCCCGAAGTCGGTTTTCAGGAGACACTTCTGAAAGAATTCATTTTTAGATTCTGTTATCCTGTGTTTTTTAGCTGCACGCCAACAACCAACATTCACAACACTTTGTTACGACACTATACGATCACGTGAACAGGAAGCTGGCATGTTCACGTTAGAGTTAAATGGCCAATTACAATTCGGTGCTGCTGCGAAGACCAGTTTTGCATTGTATGGGGCGGAGCTTCGCCCAAGAAGATAGATCTACATGATTGACGTCTATCGGGGCTCTTTGGTGGGATCGCGTCGTTGAGATAACATTCCCCAGAGAGTCCAGCGCTGTGATATCCTACTTGTGGCCGGAATAAATTCCATTCATTGTTAAAGACCTTTTCTGTTCATTTTCCAAGACTCCATAACGATTGGGTGGAATCAGCCTACCTAACACTTCCCACAGGTTTCATAGCTTCAATGTGAGCGTGCCATTATCAGACTTCCATCCATTCATCCATTTTTGATATCGCTTACTCCCAATGCTGTTCTGGGGGGGCTAGAGCCTATCCCAGCTAACAATTGACGAGAGGGGGGTACACCCTGAACAGGTTGCTAGTCCATCACTGGCCACACAGATACAAACAACCACCCACACCCACATTCACTCCTAGGGACAATTTGGAGTGTCCAATTGACCTAACATGCAGGTTTTTGGGACAGTGGGAGGAAGCCATTATAAGACTGGTATAGAGCTTTTGAACTGATCCATTTAGTCAGATTCCGGTGTCTAGAAGCAAGGAAACTTCTAAAAACTTCCCGGCAGCAGTCCTCCAGGACCGAATTAGGACATGACTGTTATAAATGATTGATTTTTGCCTTCGTGTTCATCAGCATTAAAAATGAACTAACTTCGTCTCATGAACATCACCGGTACAAAAGAATTAAAGTTAGCACTTCACAATGTTTTATTTGTTTGCTTTGTGTGATTACTTTCGGGCGGGTGGCTGCAAGGACATTTCATTACATTATTTAATGTATTTGTACTGCAAAATCAATTGAAAACAATCTGGAAAAAGAAACTAATAAACATTTGTGTCCAAAGCTAAATTATTCATGTACAAGGTAATAATGTAAACAAATAACAACATGCAAAGGTTGAGAGGGAACTTAAGTGCATAATATTGGTTTTCTTTGTAAAAGTATACAAGGGAATAATAAATAAAAAAACTTAAGATTACTTTAGAATGCATCCAGAAAAATGATACCTCTCTCATCTCTTTGATTTTTGATCCTCCTTTCCCTATTAGGGAGCCGCACTGGCTGGCTGGCACAACAAGCCTTAGGGTGACAGGAGGCTTGCTGGTTGCTGGGCTGTTACTCATGGAATTGATTATGTCCTGGAAAAAAAAACAAAAAAAAAAGACATATTCCAATTTCTGAGAGTAATGTGACCCCAAACATTCATGATGTTTAATTGTGCTAATCAGTTTACAAACTCAAAAGTTGGGAATAATGACCTAAAAAGCATGTTTCACCTTTTTCTATCTTGTCTATTTGAAGGTGGAGCACACTTTATGGATGTACAGTAACTGCATATAGGAATAGACATAAGTTATAGTAAACCATAAATTGGTCAGATCTGGCCTGCTGGTCTGGCAAATTTCATAGAGATCCCTGAGGCCACATCCATCAGTCACCTCTCACAACTCCCAATCACAATGCTTAAAAGTATTAGAATCAGAATTACTTTATTAATCTCTTGCGGGAAATTCTGTGATATGATTGACAAGACCAGAGGAAATGATGGTTTAAAGGAAACTATTTAAATTCCCTTTGTACTGTTAAATGATTTGCTTCGTATCCATTCCGCGTTATAGAAGAGCCATCTAAAGGCTTTTAATATTGTGAGTGATTCATTTTGCATGTGTAAACATAATAAAAAATACTTTATAAAACATCAAATACATTTTACTTTCAGCCTGTACAGTTTTTGACTTGCATTATATTCTATATGTTTGATTGAGTGAAAAAATATGATCAAGCACCTGTTGTCTTGAACAAAAAAATGCAGCTCTTTCTGTGTTCCCTCACATAATTTTGTGCCACTGAAAATCTTAAACTATTCCTAAACCTTTTTTGTGCTTTGTGGTTAGGCTGCACTTAACAGATTTTTGGCAATTTTGGCAAAAATCTGAAAAATCCACTTATAAAATCAGAAGATGCTACACTTAGCTTTGAAATGTTGGAAGAATGAAAAACATGTATTTAAGTATTGACTTATAATTTCACAAAGGAAAATTTCACAAAACATTTCGCAAGACTGTGTTTTATCAAAATGTTCTACACTTAAATTTGCTCCCATTCAGCAATTGTTTGGAATGTAAATCAGATCGGTTTCATTCTAATTTATAATTAAAATATGGTGGAGATTATATCACGAATGCAGCCCAGCATAATTATAAGAATCTAACCTGTCTGTATTGCATGTAGTTTCATTAGATTTGAGTCATTTTAGTCACATAGTGTTACATATGGGCTTGATCTCTGGTAGGAAATATCTCACAAAAGCTTAATTGGGCGTTAACTGTTACATAATACTGCATTATGAAGTGGGCAATTGTGACAACTGTAAGGGAAACAGCAAATATTATTCATCTAAATGTGTAATATATACAGTATAGTCACATACTCATATAAAGGTTATTGATATCAATTAGTTTTCTTCTGTGTAATTACAACAATTGGATTTTGGTTCCAATCTTCTTTGTACATATCCATTTGAAAATTTAAGTGAAATGTTGAGTTTTTTTGCGAAATCTTGTGTTTTCACTCTCTCCTTGTGTTTTGCACTTCAAACCAACATAAAAAACAGAGTGGCCACCGTGATAGTCCAAGAAGATACATAAAGATAATCAAACTGTCAAGAAGGATCAAACCTCTTCAAATTTGTAAGCGATCATAGCGAAAGCCTTGAAGATGGTGTCTGTGGGTCCAGTGATGGTGACAATCCTCTCTGGACAGTTTCCCTCCGAAATATTGATACGTGCTCCACTCTGAGAAAAGCAGCAGATGTATTGTCGATGAGATCGATACAGGTGATGTGAGACTCTATTCTTAGAAAGTGGATCCCTATAAATTCTGAATAATTATTTGGCCAATATCAAACCGGATCCAGAACCAAAATAATTAATTACATTAGTCTTGCCAAGCAAGTTAAATTTTTTTTCAATGTTCTTCAACTTAAAGGGTTTTTGTATTTTGTATTTTTATCAAGGAATAATTATTAAATAAGTGAATAGGAATGTGTAATTGGTAACTCACCTCTTCACGCATCTTTTTTACAGTTTCTCCCTTCTGGAAAAAAAATATTAACCAATAACAAAAAACAAGATTAAATAGGGCACATTATATGTATTCCTGTGTATAAACATGAACAAATTCATTAAATACGCACCTTTCCAATTATACTTCCAACCTCCTGCAATAAAAAAAAAAGAAAAAGGTTTTCAAAAGATTTTTTAATGTAAAATGGTTCACCAAATTAGATTTTTTACTTCAGCTGGTCAGGAACATCCCAAGGATAAATATGTCTGCATGGTAAGGTGTGGGGTCAAACTTTTCATATTCATCTAATCATTCTTCATGATCGTGGTGTGGCACAATGAGGGAAAGGCACAGGGGCATTTCCAGCTGCAAGCATGGACACTCCCTGACCTCTCCTTAACATATCCACGATATTAGATTAGACCTATTGTGATTTTATAACCGCGGGTAACTACGTTCACATGACTAGGTTATTCCCTTTGTGTAAATGTATATTAAAGAAGCTATTTATAAAATCAGACTTCTTCCAAAACCATTTTCTGTTGTGACGTGACCTAATTCCGATGAGACAGAGCGCTCCTATTCAATAAAGTTCAAAGAAAAGACACAGATCCCATATTTTTGGATGATTGAGAGGCATGCAAGGACATGGTGATCTGAGATAAACAGCTGAAAATGCTTTAGAATAGATCTCTGAATCTTTAGAGATTGTTTTTATAGAAATTTGTCCACAGAATAAATTTTGTTTAAGCCACAGAAGGAAATCGTAAAAAGAGATTATTTACATGCAAGGAATATTTTTCATCCTCATCGGGATACAATGTCGTGGGCTCGCATCCAGACTAAGACATTAGATGAGGTGAGTGTCTAACACAAAGAAAATATAAGTCAGATAAGCATGGTTTTGGTCTTGGTGTTGATGCAAATGTGTGAGCAGCATATTTATTTGTGCAAAATCCCATTCTTTGCTCCATTTATTTTGTTTCAAGACAGTTCTCTGTGCCACCCAAAAATAAACTCTAAACTTTATGACACTGATTTATGACACTGAACCTTTACAGTGACCCTCTTGGAGTCCAATGGTGGTCTTTGAACCTCTCTCAAACTCAATTTTTCACAATCAAAGATATCTAAAATTACACATGACTCTTTCACATTGGTAATCTTTTATCTAGAACAACTTATATAAGATCTCACACACCACTTTAATATTTGACTGATTTCAGAATCAGCTTGCTTTGTTTTATCAAACAAAAATAAGTCATGTGAACCAGCACATTTTTTTAAACGTGTGTTTTCAGGGTATCTTCAACATTTTCCTCTCAATAACAATTCCAGCCTACTCAAAGTTTGTCAGCTGCCTCTCTGATTTTTTTCCAGTGGCCAAATGAACTCTGTGGAAATGGTTTCAGGAAGTTGAATGAAATCTGAAGAAGTGCTTAGAAAGCACAGAGTAGAATACCCTCCGTGCATCAAAGGTGAAAGGATTTCTATTCACTTTTGTTATCTTCTTCTATCTGGAAGTTTAAAGGCAGGATCAATTAATTGACTCTGGGAGTGCCCTTGGTTTTTTTCTCTATGGTGGTCCTATAACGGACATGTGATTCATTCTGGGTGTATCCTGCCTTTCGCTCAATGCCAAACCTGCACTGAATTAAATGGATGGATATATGTAATATTTATTCATGTGTGACTCAACATCACTTTAAAAAACTATGCCTATCAGTAATTCTAAGTAGTTGCTTAAAATACCATTAGCATCTTTTAGGATTCACCTCTGAATGGAATAACTCCACATGAATTTTCATGTGGATTTACAATACACGGGATTTACAGTGCGTTGAGTTGACTCACTTTTCCGTGCATAAGTAGGCGGATGGTTAGGGTGACATTGAGGCCACCCTCTGACTGGACTTTGGTGGACTCCATGGACTCCAAACTCTAAAGTGGTCCTGCAACAGGATGTTCTCCGAAGAAGAAGGTTTATGGTGATATTCCAGCCAGCCAGGAACCTGCAAGGGCCCAAGATCACACGCACAAAAAAACAACGTTAACTGTGTCTGAAACTCAATCACAAAGTTGTAGGGGGAAAATAAATAGAGCTATGTTTAAAAAGAATTGCATTCTATATTCTATCAGTGTGCATTTGTCATGCAACTATTTCAATATCTGGACCCAGAATGGCCTTCAATAGACAGTGGGGAATTTTGGAGATAAAATCTAAGGTAGAAAAGAATATAAAGCACTAAGGGAAAAAAAATTAACATAAACATGTATACGAAGAAACAAGGAATAAAAGCAGGAGACATGGTGACAGAGAAAATTGGGAAAAACTGCATAAAGAAAGACGACAAATGAAGATCAAAAGAAACCAAAAAGCTCAAAATACACACGGAAAACACAAACAATATCAATCTGTGTTGATCATACTCATGTTGGAGGGGCAGAGCGTGAAACTCCAAACCCAAAACCTCTTTACATTTCACTTGTGTTGCAGTTTTCCCTTTTGTATTGCCCAAAAATCCACCGATTTTGATAATTTCTGGACACCTGTTAGACTACAAGGAGACAGGTGTGACATTTACTTAGCTATTTTTGTGGAAAAATCGGTACAGAACAAAGAAAAGAATGATTGGAAATGTGATGGTCGTGCCAAAAAGCAGTGACGTCACTTTAGTAACAGATCAGCTACACTGAAAGCTAGAACATGATGAAAAACCGAGTCCACTGCCAGTTTACTCAGTCAATGTTTCCTCTAAGGAACGTAATTGGTTTGAAAATTACACCAGGCTGACGGGAACATTACCAGTTTTTGTCCCTATTTGGAATGGCACCACTGGCACACTCTTGCTTGTCTTTTTTTGGGGGCCAAAATACTGCAATTGCAGCTATTTTGAGCTACTGGATCTACAGGGAACAAGCTGGTTTATTCAATTTGAGCCCGGTCAACAGCTCCATAGAGAGACATATTTACAAGGGAAAAAATACCTGCTTTGAAACAAGGGCAGACTCTTTAATCAGATGTGCAAGAAAGGGGCTAGTTTAGATAGGTAACCTCAGTTTATGCAGTTTGGAAATGTTAGCAGCAGTCTGGATGCAAATTTTCAACCATTATTGTCATGGAACCTAAGGATAGTGGCACATTTGACATGTGAAAATACTGTATGTCGAAAAAGTTCAAGAGATCTATCCTCTTTGCTTATTTCATGGCAGGAAAACCGCAAAGCAGATATTATGTCTGAAAAACTGACTGGGGATGATGTTCTGATTCTGGATTTGGACACCCATTTAAATCGGTCAAATTTCAGCGACTGTTTCATCTGATGGGTCCAAATTTGGCTGGTAGGCACCTGGTCTGTATTTCTGCTGTTGGCTAGCAAATAAAACTTTTGGAAAATAATAAAACTATTGAAAAGTAGAATTTTAAAACGATCCAATCAAGTTGCCGGACAAAATCCTTCAGTCGTGTCTTGCTGCTTGCTTGTATTTATAATTTTAAAGTAATTTGGTTATTGTAGAGTTTAGAATGTGTTGTCAGAATACACAAGTCACAAATAAAACCTGCCTGACATTGTGCGGTACACACCTTTCTTTTAGAAGCAACACCTATAAAGCAGTGTTAGGAACAACAGTTAAAATGTTTTCAGCTTTTTTCCCGCTTTAGTGATTAATGCTCCCAGATGGTGACAGGCATCCAGATGTGTCAAACCCAGGTGTTAACAAGCCCTTAAGTCACATAAACATTTTCACACCCGGATCTGCTTTTTTGCAGAAAACACATTCAGATTAGTCCATCTTTTAAGCGCGATGTCTCAACTTTTCGACACCTGCTGACTGTAATGAAGAGCAGCTGGCATCCTCTTGTGAGTGAGGTGAGACATTAATTCAGGACCATTGAGTGACACCTTGGCTGCAGAGTGATGTCTTAATCTGTATATATTTTGTCTGTGGACCTGTGAGAAAATATTGATTAATCAATCAATAGCTAGTTTGATGTTGACATAATAAAGTAATAAACTAATGGATGGATAACAGTAGGAAAGATATAGCATAGCGATGATTAAAGAATATTTTATATAATATTTTTTATATTATATTTTATGATATTGTATTGTATTGTGTTGTATTGTATCATATTATATTATTTTATACATTTTATTTTTAGATAATGTTTTTTTTAATCTAATTTGATATGACTAGTTTTCTCTTTTAGTCCCAAATTTTGATTAAAGCTTTTGAATTTGTCAACAATGATGAGAATGCCCTGTATTAGCCATAGTAGGAACCTTGTGGCTGAGAATGGCTCCTTTGTGACACTACATAAAACTGATATACAATGGATGGATTAAAGATAGATTTAGCTGGTTTTTGTTTTGTTTTTTTTCATTTTATTTATTTATTTTTATTTGCAGTGTTGTTAGTTCAGTTTATCAGATATTACTATTAATATCTAGCTTTCAAGCTGTCCTGCATTTTTTTGAAGTCTATGCACAATAACACAAGTATTTCATTAAAAGACAAAACAACAACAACAAAAACATTGAAGTGTGTTAGCACTATTGCATCCACCTTTTTTCCTTCTGTTTTGACTGGATATGCCAGAAGTGAAAAGACTGTTGCTATGAGTTTAGGTGGTCAGCTTTATTTTGGTGCTGTATTCCAGTTTCAAATAACAGTTTTCATTTTTGTTTCGAGTGATATTTAGCTTTAGATATTTATCATTAATTCTACCTTAATTTTTGTTTTGTGTTTTTTTGGCGAGTTCTTTGGTCTAAATCAGGTTGGCTTATAGTGTTATCCGCACGAGGAGCTTTCCAAAAAGTTTTATTCTTACTAATATCATGTGGCGTTTCAATTGTAACAAAGGCCTTGGTTTGATTAATTATTACAACTTTCTTTGAACGACTTCCATCAAATTTCTTCTTGTCATCTAAGGTCTAGTTGAGGGCAACAGGCTCATAAGCCAAACCCAGACTTCCTTTCCCCAGTCTGCCCCACCCTTCCCAATTTAAAGACATCTATGTTTGTATTTCTTTAATCAAACTGAATCAAAACCAAACAATTTTGAGTTTCGTCATATATATTTTACCATATGAAATAAAAACCAAAAGCAAATAAAACAAGGGGGGTGAATTATTTTTACATGTATTTGTGCATGGAGAAGTATTTTGGAGCTGCACCCTCCCCCAAAACCATCCATTCTCTCCATCCCCAATTTCCCCCAAAGCGGGTTGTAGCTTGTCATCTCCGATCAGTCAACCCGGTTAAGATTTCAGCCTAAATTACAATAACAAGCAGATGCCTCCTTGCATTGTTCCTCTGCCTCCTTGCATTAGCTCGGAACGCTACCACAAATCACTGTTGCGGCTATGCTAACAGACAACATTTGCTGGCCATTGCCATAAAAGATTGCAACAAAAACACACTAAATCTTGCCCAAATGGTTTTTGTTACCTTGAAAGGAGACCTCTATACATTTCATCAGCTCAGGTCATCGAGGTTGAGATGCCTTTTTTCTGTCAGATCATTTACTAGACTATTTCTTCCACACATGTAAAGCTGTCATTCAAAGTTAATGTATCCCTCACACAGCAAAACATTTCACAATAAACAATGTCTGTGGCATCATATAAATAGCGACCTTTTTTACACCATAAGAAATAACACGGATAAGATACAACGGAGTTATTTGTATCTACCTCATGGTTTTGGTAAATTTGCTTAAAATCATCATTAAAAGACAAAAAATGTGATCCAGTTGGAGAAATTCATTGAAAATCTTTTCATTTTTGTCTTAGACTGATTCCTCCCCAAATGATGTCACCCTGCAAACAACCAGGCAGCAGGGAGGGCCAACACCAACGTTCCTACTGTTAGGAAACTAACGATTAGAAAATTAAGACACATCTCAAAAACACATCTTTTACATCATCTGAAGTATCAGAAAGTATTTACCTTTTCTATTGCGCTCCAAAGAAGTGGCAACGACTTCAACTCTGAGCAAAAGGTAACCAAAAAAATGACATCCTCCGATCAGCAAGACAAAATATAAGGCAAACCATTGGTCAAAAAAATGGAGTGGCCATGAATCATAGCTCATAACGTCACATTTGGCCACGTGACCGCTAAATCCATCCAAATTTGGGCAAATGTTAAAGCTGACTTTGCCATTTCGTCATAATTTGACCACTGTGTGGGTAAATAGCCTATGCATGGACACAAGACGATAAAAGTGTCCCAGATTTGGAGAGCCCTCAGGGTGTGGGGTTGGAAGTGGTAAACAAATGAGTGACAGGTCAAAAAATTGAAGTCTGACGTTGTCTTTTATGTAAATTTGTTAGTACTTTACAATAATAATATCACATGCGTGCATTAAGACTGACCTAAAATTGACCAATTCAACAATCCTTCTGTTTTAAATGTGGTGTTTACATTTTTACCAACTAAGGTTTGTTACAAGCAAACAGAATGAGCGCTAATAAAGTCTGAAATTGCATTTTTCTAGTAGGAGCTGCTCTTTCAGGCTTGGAGTATTGTTGAATTTTCAGATAACATCTGCAATTACACACCAGGTCAATACTTACAGTTGACAGCAATCTTCTCTTACTTGACTGCTTTCATGTTTGTTTTTATTAATTTCTCCCTATTTTAACTGCATTTTGTGTGTCAGTGTCTGTTTGTTAAAGATAGCTTGTGCTGCAATGATTCCAATGGAAATGCAGAAAAAAGTATATTGTTTTTTTTTTGCATTTGGCTCTGTGTGTATGAGTGTCTCCCAACCAGAACTATGAGGTGGGTTCATAGCAGACTCCAAAAATCTCATGTTGCAAATGTTTTTTTATTGGTTACACAATAATATTGAGACTTTTTGTACTGTAAAAGGGAAGACAAGTGCTTCCATTAATGTGTTTTAATTTCTGCTGCTATTG